GGAGACTGGTCTCCGGAGGAGTCGTACTGCTCACTGGTGTGTCCGTCTCTGCCAATACGCCTTCCACAGTTGGTGCAAGGCACTCCCGAATCACCATAGCGGCGTCCAGACCTGTTTGCTCCGCCTAAAAGTGAATACGTTTTAGACGATGCAAATTCACAAAAAACTAATGTGTAATGGCGTTTCAGAGGCCAATCAAACAAACACGTCCCGAGTGTCCAACTTCAGCAAGCATATAGCGACAACGAAGGCTTAACAATCAAAAGGGCACGAGAATGAATAAAGAAGACCACGCCTTACAGCCAGGTACATGTGGCCGTTGCAGCAACCGGTGCGAAAAATCCAACCAACATTTGTAGCCGCCCAATAAAACTTAATACGCAAGTTTGAGGCCTACCACTAAGGGTACTGAAATAATAGACACCGCAATCCACACAGTTTATTTCTATCGCATTATCATTGTTATTATTAATAGGGCAAAAAACCAAACAGTAAGGACAAAAATAAGCAAGGAACAAACCATTTGAGTAGCGACCATCTGAGCCGTACTCTTGGTAGTGGCATAGACACAGCGAGCACAAATGACGAGTTGGTAAAGGGCTAAGTCGAGGCGGACTGACAGACCGGGTGGGAAACAGAGTGGTTGAGACTCGCTGTTGCTGGGCAATCGACGACGAATACAGCGAGAGTGAGCACGGATTGAGGCACTAAGCTGGCCCATGTGAGCGATAACTTTTGGTAGACCTGTTTCGGCGCCAACACCGCTCTCTGGATCCACAATATCCAGTGGCTGTAAAGCCAAGGAACAGATGAATCGCATGTAAACGGGAAATATTTCGCATTTATAAGGAATAAGGTTTCACTTGAATGAGTAAGATTTTGAGAGACTTCAGTGACGCAAATAGCACCTATGAATGCACGCGTTCCATAAATCTATGTGTTACAGCACCTCTGACCCTACCTCCACGAGTCCAGCTAAGAGGGCAACCAATGCAAACAACTGCATTTCCGAAAGTAAGCATTACAGACAGAAACTAGTGCGGCAAAATTGGTGACAGGTAAAATGAATCGCTAAGGACAGAAGAACCTGCCCAAAGCTTGAAAGAAAGTGCCGACAAGGTAAAATGAAGGGCACAAGAAGGTCTCAACACCTCAATGTCACCAGGCTGGAGAATAATCTACTCACTACTTTATAATGAAAAAGGAAATGCAAGGAGGCAACAAATTTAAACTGAAAGGTTAAACTCACTTGACCAGTGAAGGCAGCAAGACACGAGGCACCCACAGTAACAGCTTCCGAACAGGCGAGAGTAATGCGTGCAAAGTTGGTCATCATTTCGGTGCAGTTCATGCTTTCGGATAAGGCATTGAGTGCGGGCACAACGTGAGTGGTATGGATTTTGTTAAAGAAATTCACTGAAGAAATCAAGGCCTCAAGGGAGACCGCATCATCCAGTTGGTCGCGTTTACACAGATCGAGGAGGTGATCCACCGTCTCCTCATGGCCCGCAGACAGATCGTTGTAGAGTGCAACGAGC